TGAAGCTGAGGCTCCAATACTTTGGTCACCTCATGAGAAGAGAAGACTCCCTGGAAAAGACCCTGATGTTGGGAAAGGCTGAGGGCACAAGGAGAAGGGGACGACAGAAGACGAGATGGTTGGACAGTGTTCTCGAAGCTACCAGCATGAGTTTGACCAAACTGCAGGAGGCAGTGGAAGACAGGAGTGCCTGGCGTGCTCTGGTCCATTGGGTCACGAAGAGTTGGACATGACTAAACAACTAAACAACAAAAAAGGAAAAGCGGGACATTCTGGGATCTAATCAGAAACCAGGACCACTTCTGTAAATCCAGGACTGTCCCTGGAAAATAGGGACACTTGGAGGGTCTGTTGATGCAATGCTTTATATATGATGCTGCCTCTGAAGAAGGTTTGGAAACTTCAATTGGTGCAGAATTCAGAGGTCAGGGCAAGACAGTTTCGGCACAGAAGACCAATCCTGGCCTGACTGCACTGGCTGCCGGTTAATTTTCTGGGCCCAATTCAAAGGGCTGGTTTTGACCTATACTGCCTTACAGCTGATACCTCTTTGCCTCAAGGACCTCAATGCCTGAAGGGACTACCTCTCCCCATATGAACTGACCTGAACAATGCAATCATCATCTGAGTCCCTTCTTAGTGTGCCTCCTCCGTGAAATGCCTGGAGGCAACATGAGAAGGGACCTTTTCTGTGGCTGCAGCTCCCCATTTATGAAACGTTCTCCCCAGAGAAGCTCACTTGGCACCTTCATTACATATCTTTAGGCACCAGGCAGAAACATTCCTCTTCTCCCAGGCTTTTGGCTAATTCAACAATCTATGGCCTTTTAAATTATATGTGAGGGGTTGTTTTTGTTTGTTATTATGGTATGCATTTTTGTGTTTTTATATTGTAAACTGCCCTGTGATCCTTGGATGAAGGGCAATATGAAAAATTATTATTAATAATAATAATAATAATAATAATACACTGGTACCTCGGGTTACAGACGCTTCAAGTTACAGACTCTGCTAACCCAGAAATAGTACCTCAGGTTAAGAACTTTGCTTCAGGATGAGGACAGAAATTGTGCTCCGGCAGCGTGGCGGCAGCAGGAGGCCCCATTAGCTAAAGTGATGCTTCAGGTTAAGAACAGTTTCAGGTTAAGAACGGACCTCCGGAACAAATTAAGTACTTAACCTGAGGCACCACTGTAATACCTTCTTGCCTTGCCTCCCCTCAGAACAACAGATATCTTGGGCCACAATACTAAGCACTCTTCAGTGGAAGAATTGAATTACAAAGTGATGTTCTATGGCTATTTTAGCACTATTAAGTGTTGCATTACAATCCTATGCCTTTTTTCTCCAGGTTCCATTGAGTTCAATGGTACTTACTCCCAGATAAACGCATATGTAGAGCTGCAGTCTTAATGAAAGTAATTCTTCACACAGCACATAGGCAACCTATGAAACTCACTCCCGTAGGGGACAGAGCTGGCTGCCAAGCTGGTGGCTTTATTGAACTGAAATTGAATTGAAATACTTTATTGTCATTTGTACAACCTGTATACAGTGAGGTTACACGAGCACCCCCCACTCAGCTCTTTTAGTCTTAATTCCCCTCGTTTACTGACGCACACCCACCAAACCTGAAAGTCAGTTGCCCTGTTGTTATCGTTTCATTCAGCAGCCTAACAGCCCATGGATAGAAGCTGTTCTTTACCCTGTTGGTGCGACTAATCATGCTTCTATATCTTCTGCCTGAGGGCAGGAGATCAAGAAAGTGCCGGCCAGGGTGTGAATCATCCCTGAGAATTTTCCTCACTCTCCTGAGGCAACCAAGGATGGTATTAAAAGAGGATTGTGCAAATACATGGCAGAGAGGGCCATCAGTGGCTACTACTAGCCATGAAATGGAGGCAGCGATGCTTCTGAATACCAGTTGCTGGAAACCACAGGAAGGAGGAGTGCTTTTGTGCTTAAATCCTGCGTGCTGGTTTCCCCCAGGCATCTGGTTGGCCACTGTGAGAACAGGATGCTGGACTAGATGGGCCATGGGCCTGATTAGCAGGCTGCTATATTCAAACCCAGGTAGCCTCTTACCTGATTTGTTTTCCCCAAGTAGACATTTTACTCTTGCACCGTATTGCAGCCGTGAAACCTCATATCTTTCCCTGCGCAAGCAAGGGGACATGAGAAACTAGTTAAAAGCAGAACGTGTGGGAGGAATGTCCTTCGACTTTGCGCTTGTTGTTCTGGCTTAATAAATCCATCGATGGCTCTGATTTCACCTCTTCGCCTCCATACACTTAATTGGCTTTCACAGAGCGGTAGCAAAGCCCCGTCCTTTCATTCTTCTCATTGTGTTTCCGCAACAGTGTTTTTCTTTTGATTACCAAGCCGGCTGAAAGATCAACTGTTCCTCCCTGTTATCAAAGCCATCCCTGGCAGGCATCATGACTTTGGTCCGCACAGTAAAGCCAAAAGATGACCATTATTTTTCATTCCTGAGTAACACACTGTGGAACCTTAAGCACAGAAGTCAGTCGGTGAGATTTACTTCTTGGTTAAATGTGCTTAGGATGGGAGCCAAACTAGGCTTTATGAGTAACTCAAAGGTAGTGTTTATAATTTGTGTATAATTTTAATCCATAAACTCCCTACCCTACCATACAGTGCAGTGGTGCCTCGGGTTACATATGCTTCAGGTTACATACATTTCAGGTTACACACTCCATTAGCCCAGAAATAGTGCTTCAGGATAAGAACTTTGCTTCAGGATAAGAACAGAAATCGGGCTCTGGCGGCGCGGCAGCAGCAGGAGACCCCATTAGCTAAAGTGGTGCTTCAGGTTAAGAACAGTTTCAGGTTAAAAACGGACCTCCGGAATGAATTAAGTACTTAACCTGAGGTACCACTGTACTTATTCCTCAGCTCTGAACCCTTTTAACTAATCTATGCTTTTACTTAGTACAGTGGTACCTCGGTTGTCGAACGTAATCCATTCCGGAAGTCTGTTCAACTTCCGAAATGTTCAACAACCAAGGCACAAAGGGCAGTTGGCAAAGTCAACTGAGAAAATTGAAAAAAAAAACGCAGTGGAAGCCGTTCAACTTCCAAAAAGCGTTTGAAAACGGAAGCAAATACTTCTGGGTTTTCGGCGTCTGAAAACCAACATGTTCAGCTTCCAAGACGCTTGAAAGCCGAGTCACCACTGTATTCGGATTCTACCTCTTTGCAGCTTTAATCTAGAATCACTGAAATGAACAATTAAATTCTATGCAAGTCCTACCCAGAAGTAAGTCACACTGAGTTCTATGGGTGAGTATGCAAGAACATAAGAAGAGCCTGCTGGATCAGGCCAATGGCCCATCTAGTCCAGCATCCTGTTCTCACAGTGGCCAACCAGATGTCTGTGGGAAACCTGCAAGCAGGACCCAAGCGTAAGAGCCCTCTCTCCTCCTGTGATTTCCAGCAACTGGTATTCAGAATGGTTACTACTACCCATGATGGCTTGGCTCTGTCTCCAGAGCTGAAGGCAGCACTGCTTCTGAATACCAGCTGCTGGAAACTACAGGAGGGGAGGGGATGCGGGTGGCGCTGTGGGTTAAACCACAGAGCCTAGGACTTGCCGATCAGAAGATCGGTGGTTTGAATCCCCACGACGGGCTGAGCTCCTGTTGCTCAGTCCCTGCTCCTGCCAACCTAGCAGTTCGAAAGCACGTCAAAGTGCAAGTAGATAAATAGGTACCGCTCCGGTGGGAAGGTAAACGGCGTTTCCGTGTGCTGCTCTGGTTCGCCAGAAGCAGCTTAGTCATGCTGGCCACATGACCCAGAAGCTGTTCGCCGGCACCCTTGGCCAGTAAAGTGAGATGAGCGCCACAACCCCAGAGTCAGTCACGACTGGACCTAATGGTCAGGGGTCCCTTTACCTTTACCTTACAGGAGGGGAGAGGGCCCTTGTGCTGAAACCTGCTTGCTTGCCACAGGCATCTGGTTGGCACAGCCAACTGCAGTAGACCTCTGTTTCTGGGTCTACTGGAACATATATACTTTGCATACAGAAGGTCCCAGCGGGTTCTATCCCAGGAAAGTTCAGTAAAAGGGCTAGGTAGGAATGTAGGAATCTGCCTCATACCAAGTCAAAGCATTGGGTCAATCTCACTCAATATTGCTACACTGGCTGGCAGCAGCTCTCCAAGGTTTCAAGCAGGAGTCTGAACCCAGGACCCCACTTGAGGACCTTCTGTACACTAGGCAGATACAGCATCACCAAGCTACGGCCCTACTACAGCTGATAGGAAAGACTCCTGTATGAGACCCTGGAGAGCCATTGCCAGTCAGAGCAGACAATACCAGCTAAATGAGCAAATAGCCTAACCTGGCCTAAGCTTGCTTCCTGTGTTCCTTTGACAGCACTCTAAAGCATTTTCTGTTGTCAGCCTAATTTTTGAGATTTGGTTCTGTTCTTCTCTGAGAGCCCTTGAACAATTTCCGCCTCATTCCAAGCTGACGCATCCAGCATATCCGTGGGGCTCCCTAGCCGGCTTGCTCAAGGTCTTTTGATAATTGCCATGCCAACCTTTCCTCTCCGTTCTCAGTCCAGAGACGTAGAAAGGGCATTATCTTCCTGCATAAAAGACAGATCAGTCATAACAAAATTTGGGTTCACTCTTTTGAATTGCAATGACTGGGGTCGTCATGGAGACTGAGAGCGATCCAAATGCTCTGAGGGGCAGCGTGTAGGCAAAAGGGCACCCATCCACATACAAGAAGGAAGGCCGCAGAAGGCTTTGGGCAACCCTGAGGTTGGCAGGAGTGCAACGCATCTCTAACAGGAAAACGTACACACACACTCAGAACCAGCCAGCAAAGACTGGGTGTGCTCAGGCGCCACAGAATGCTGCGGGGAGGAAGGGGAGGCAAAGCCAGGTGTGGTGAGAATGGAATGGGGTATCACAGAATTGAAGGGACCACAAGAATCATCTAGTCCAACCCACTCTAAAGCAGGAATCTTTTTCCCAACGTGGAGCTTGAACCCACAACCCTGAGATTAAGGGTCTCATGCTCTACTGACTGAGCTATCCCAGGTCCTCGTGAAGGAAAGCATGGACAGGGCTGATGAACAGGAACATCCCACACTGCAACATTAGTAATCATCCAGTTACTTTATAGTAATCATCCAGTTACTTTACTTTATAGTAATCATCCAGTTACATTAGTAATCATCCAGTTACTTTAAACTAATCATCCAGTTACTTTATAGTTTTTTTTTAAAAAAAGGTAAGGGACCCTTGACAGTTAAGTCCAGTCACGAACGACTCTGGGGTTGCGGCGCTGATCTCGCTTTACTGGCCAAGGGAGCCAACATTTGTCTGCAGACAGTTTCCCCAGGTCATGTGGCCAGCATGACTAGGCTACTTCTGGCGAACCAGAGCAGTGCACGGAAACGCCGTTTACCTTCCCGCTGGAGCGGTACCTATTTATCTACTTGCACTTTGACGTGCTTTTGAACTGGAGCTGGGACATCCTTAAATACTTGGGACGAGTTTACTTGCAGGGTCACCTTCCTCCATATGCACCCACTCAACCACTTCAATCGGCAGATGTGCCACATCATTCTGCAGTTGTGAGAAATGGACTTTTTATTCTGACAGCACCCACATTTGGAACTCCCTGCCTGTTGACATCAGGCAGTAATCTTTTTGGCGCTTGCTGAAAACATTTTTGTTTAGGCAAGCCTATCCAGTTGGATTGTTTCAATCTTTTATTGTTAACGCAATTATTTTTGAATGTGTTACATTGTTTTTAGCTGGTTTTTATGGATAATTTTAATATCTCTTGTAAACCACATAGAGGTGTGTCTGGCTTCTTCACTATACAGTACAACCTTCACTGAATGCTGAAGAGGCACCTCTTTTCAGGGTCCACCCTATGCTTGTGATCACAATCTGTTTAGTTTTTAATTTTTAATTGTTGTAACCTGCCCGGGGACCCAAGGTTAAGGGTGGGTAAATGATGATGATAATGATGATAAAGGCCACCAGGTTTGTGAAGCCTACCATAATGATTCCTTGACACATATACGTCTCCATTTGACATTACTGCCTATTATATTACTCTGTAGTCATCCAGTTTAGAAAAGCAGAACAGAATTGTTTTTAAAGGGCAATATAGATCCAAGAGATAGAAACAAGTTGAATGTGTTCATTGAATGTATTCACCCAAACATTCTGCCAGAGGGCTTTTGCCGTGGACTCTTTTGCGCATGATACATTCCTTGCGCAACAAGTACTTATTCTGATTCAATTATATACCTCATAGTATGCTATCAAGTGTGACAAATGTCACTCGCACACTCTAGCCTATGACAGACGCTTTAAAGGCCCATTGATAAAACATATACTTCCCTCAGTATCTGTTGAATATACAACAACTCAAAACAAATCAAGCCTTGCCTGCAGGCTTGCAATAGAAAGGAGTGGTGAGCAACCTTTTCCTTTGCATTCCCTCAGAGGCAATATACCTAGGAAGACTGCGTCTCAACTGTGGGTGGGGATGATATCAGTGGTGGGTGGGCTCACCTGCTCTTCCTTCCCACCAACAAGGGAAGGGACAGATTGCTAATGACAGAGGACTCTGCTAATCACCCGAGAGGGCTTTTGGAATTAGGCAAGTTGCGCCCTCCTGGTCTAAGATATGATACATTTAAATAAGTATCATACAACTTTAAACAAACATGGCTTTCCCCAGAGACTCCTGGGAACTCTATTTGTTAAGGGTTTACCCGGAAGTAAATGCTTCCATTTTCGAACACGCCTTGGAAATCGAACGGCTTCCACTGCATGTATCTGTTGTTTTTCACAATTTTCTCTACCGAATTGGCATACTACCCTTTGCACCTCGGTGTTCGAATGTTTCGGAAGTCGAATGGTCTTCCAGAATGGATTACGTTCAAAAACTGAGGTACCACTGTACTATAATAATATGATAATAGTTTATTATTTATATGCCATCCATCTGACTAGGTTGCCCCAGCTACTCTGGGCAGCTCCCAACAGAATAAACATGATAAAACATCAAACATTAAAAACTTCCCTGAACAGGGTTGCCTTCAGATGTCTTCTAAAAGTCAGATAGCTGTTCATTTCCTTGACATCTGATAGGAGGGCGTTCCAAAGGGCAGGCGCCATTACTGAGAAGGCCCTCTGCCTGCTTCCCTGTAACCTCGCTTCTCGCAGGGAGGGAACCACCAGAAGGCTGAACGATGGGGGTGGAGACACTCCTTCAGACTAACAACTCTCGGCACCCTTAACCAACGGCACTTCCTGGAATTCTGTAGTTCTGTGGTAGTAGTTTGTGTGTAGCAGCTGAATTTCTGACATCTTCAGCTAGGACTGGGATTATCCTCTATCTGAAATGCTGGAGAGCTGCTGCCAGTTAGTGGAGACAAGAATGAATTACATGGACCAACAGTTTGCCTTGGCAGAAGCCAGCTTCCTATATTCCTTCCTAAATAGGAAACCTGTACACTTTTCATCCTATACAGTCCTAAACATGCAGCCTGTACAGTCTCCTATGCCATGTGTACCTAATCTTTGCAGTTAGCCTGATTGTATAAATGAAACTCGGAAGATGTATTCTGCATCCAGCAGTCCAGAGAATATCAGAGAGAGATCTGAAGCTGGTGCAAATGAAAGTGGCTGGGGAGATAGGGAAGGCGAGTGGTGAAGCATTTCAGGCAGCTCAAACGCATGAATTAAATGCTCAGGTCAGTAATTCACCCCAATAAATGTTTAGGTTGTCCTGCAGGGGGCATTGCAGACTGACCTCTGTGCACATCATGGCACACACACAAACCAAAACGCTAGATTTTGCCATTTTCTGATTGTAAAACAAAACAAAACAAGAACAGAATGCGCTTTCTTTAACATAAGTAATATAAAAAGGGGCAGAGGAGGATAGTAACACATGATCCAGTATGTTCAAAAATGAAAAATAGCCAATGTAGTGGTAGATACAACTTGGTGCATTTTGTGTTATGTGGCACCTGAAAGGCCTTCTGCTATGCATAGGTTTAAGTTTGATATCAACAGTGGGTTCTGTCTTCCAAATCCATTTTATTACCAAAATACTTGTGAATGAATGCAGTACAAGCACCTTGGAGCAAACATGGCCCCGTTTGAATGTCCCAGTGTGCTGCTTTCAATGGGACTGATCAAAGGTAGCTTTTGTTGTCTTGTAAAAGGGATTTTAAAAAGAATATTAAGTTTGGAGGGATGGGAGAGGGTGATGATCCAGTCTATTTAATATGGCTCAACATATTGTGAAGATATGATATATTGGTACGTCTACTCTGATTCGCAGTATCTCTCTAAGATCTCTGGCAAAGGTGTTTATCTCGAAGATCTCTGCTACTGAGCTATGACTCATCCCCACAGAATCATGGAATTTGAGAGTTGGGAGGGTCACCTATTCCAGCAGTACAGGAAGCAGCATTCCTGACAAGTTCTTCTTCTTGTTCTTGTTACAAAAATGTCTATCACCTCTTTTCTTCCAAAGGACTCCAGCAATCAACAAAGTAGCAAAATAACACAATTAAAAATAAACCAAAAGCATATTGGAAATTTTTTAAAAATATTAAGAACATGGTTTGGTTTGGTTTTCATTAAGAAACAGTAACATACCCGCACAGCTGAAACTTTCAAGGTTTTCAAAAACAGCACAAATCAGTTATCAAATGCCCGGGTGAAGAGGAATTGGTCTAATATTTCTCGTGCATGTTAAACATGAGAGAGGAAGGCTGCAACTCTCCAGAGAGAGCATTCACAAATGGGGAACCACCACCAAGAAGGCCCTGACATGGGCCAGCATCAGCTGAGCAGCACCGATTGGTGCCACCACCAACAGGACCTCCCCAGCTGATCACAGGGCCTGAAATGGCTGATACTGGGAGAGGCACTCTTCTAGGTTCTTGGGTTCAAAGCCATTTAGGGCTTTGTATGTGAGTACTAAGATTGTTGGACATGACCAATGGTTGGGGAAGGCCACAGGTTCCTCATCACTGGTCAATACTGTCAGGCGGTGACTATTCCCCAGGGTTTTAGACAAGAATCTTTCCTAGTCCTACCTGAAGGTGTCAAGAGTTGAATTTGGACTTTTTACGTGCCAGCTATGCACTAGGAAAAGTGCTGGTTAGCAGTGGTGAAGAGAAATAGCTGAAAAACAACAACAACAACAACAACAACAACAACAACAACAACTTATTATTTATTTATTTATTTATTTATTTATTTATTTATACCCCGCCCATCCGGCTGGGTTTCCCATAAAATAATTCATAAAATATTAAAAGCTTCCTTAACTAAACATATTTCTTTAACATCTGATAGGAGGGCGTTCCACAGGACAGGGGCCACTACCGAGAAGGCGCTCTGCTGGTTCCCTGTAACTTCGCTGCTCGCAGTCAGGGAACCGCCAGAAGGCCCTCAGAGCTGGATTTCAGTGTCCGGGCAGAACGATGGGGGTTGCGACACTCCTTCAGGTATACTGGGCTGAGGCCGTTTAGGGCTTTAAAGGTCAGCACCAACACTTTGAATCGTGCCCAGAAACGTACTGGAAGCCAATAAAGGTCTTTCAGGACTGGTGTTATGTGGTCTCAGCGGCTACTCCCAGTCACCAATCTAGCTGCCCCATTCTGGATTAGTTGTAGTTTCCGGGTCACCTTCAAAGGTAGCCCCATGTAGAGTGTATTGCAGCAGTCCAAGCGGGAGTATAGGTATATGGTGAAGGAATCTTCAGAGTGCACCCAGATCCATTGTGTTTACCTTTCATGCTGTTCATTTTACTGGGGCTTTGAAGGTCTGATCCTATGCATACACACTCCAATAAAAGCCCTACTTTGCTCAGTGGGGTTTATCCCCAGGTAAATCTGCAAAGCTTTGCGGCTTTCATAACATGAATTCAGTGAAAACACGCTTGCAGCGAGAGAAGAGAAGCTTACAGCTTGCTTACCATCCTCAACTGTCTTCATCATTGTCATTGGTAAAATGTGAGTAAACAAAAAAACAAACACAATGCAATTGATTGCCCTTTATATGAATAGACCTTTTACCTTTTAAATAGGGCCATCACTGATGCCCAAAATGTATATCAGGTAGATAAGAACTTCAGGGAGTTTGATTGTGTTAGCTGAACTATTTAGCTTTTACTCCCAGATAAGTACCGCCAAGAGCACTTTTCAATAAGGAGTAATCCTAAAGTGAATGATGCTGACTGGATTATCCCCATAAAATTTGTTGATTGAGATTGCTTTACAAAACGTTTTCCAGAAATTAAATTTTAAGTACTGCCGTGGTTCTTACTAGGTGATGTAGCTTAGTATTGGAGCAGATTGCTATAATCAGTGGATTGTATAATGGATTCCTATATAGCTCTGTTACATAAGGAGGGTGCTCACTTGCCAGCAAAATTAATTGCGTGGCGAGTTCCCGCCCCCCACCAGGATAAATAAAGACACGAGACACCATGGTTTAAGGTTAAATGGGCGAATTAGGCCACAACTTTATTGAATTCAGGAATGAGAGGCATTGGCTTAGGCATTGGTCCTAACGACTATCCGGCTCCAGCCCATTTGCTGGAGACACGGGAAGGGTTAACACTATATCGGGGGAGTCTCCCGCCGAGGCACGTCGACTAGGAGCTCCCCCAGGTCACCGCTCGGGGGCGTGCCTTTGGCCCACACCTCCATAGGCTTCGGACAGGGCCACGCCCCCCGGAGTCCTTTAACGGACCACCCTTCGCTCACTGGGGGGAGGTGATGGCGTTCCTCCCCCCACACACATCCTCTTAACCCCTTCTTACCAATGCCTACTGCCAATGCCGAAGAGTTGTGACGAGTTGCTACGAGGTAGGCGAAAAACCAAATGGCTGTAAATTGCCAATTGGGAAAAATTCCTACCATGCCCCATGCGGCGACAGACCGAAGTCCATAGCAAAGTCAGAGACCTACCTAAAGCCTACCTAAAGGGAGGGAGGGCGGGAAAACGTGGGGGCTAGCTGGCGAAAAGAGAGTGAGCCCCCTCTGCGCCGGCCCTAAATAGGGCAGACACGGCCGGGATTCCCCTGCTCTCGCGGGGGCTGCAAGCAGCCCCCACTCACGTGGGGGGTGGGCGTGAAGCCCGCAACCCCACCTCCTGGGCAGGCTGGAAGTGGCTCTCCAGAATTCCAAATGGCAGAGAACAAGAATACAGTGGTTTTCCACCAAAGATTGCTGACATCTCTTGATCATCAAGTGACGTGCCTTTCATGAAATCTGACATAAGAAAATCCATCTAAGCTTCATTAACATGTGACCCTGAGATTTTGGATCCCCTGCAAACTGATGCCAAAGTTTTGCATACCTCTGGTCCCCGGTTTGAAAGTCAATTACCGGTACTCAATTTGGGAGCACCAAATGTGGGGATCACAGAGCAAAACAATGCAAAAATAGCACAAGACTCTGGCACCAGTTTGGAAATAGCAATCCTGCAAGCTACAAACCAGTTAAGAAAGAGTTGTTTTACTGAAGATGAAAGCGTCACCTCAGAAGAACTCTTCTGGAATAGTTTACACTAGAGATTGGAATAAGAATACTGCCTTTCTGATTCAGGGTATTTTTTAAAAGTGATTTCTACTGTGTTCGTCGGATAATAAGAGTTCGGAGGCAGTCATTGTTTTATCACATCACTATCAACAGTAAATTGCAACACAGTAACAATTACTTATTTAATTGTGACTCTCAAATTGTAAGTCTACAGATAATACTATCAAAGTGTTGATGCATCAGTTGTCTAATCAAAGTAGTTCTGGCTTCTAAACTGCTTTTTGGCTTACAGCTCGAGCTAAAATTGTTAAGAGGCAAAAACACGACATTCTTCATGCTGTGTCCCAATTTCTCACTATTCATTTGAATGAATGCCTTGGATTGAATTCCATTATGTGCATTTCAAGCATATAATAGATGCTAAAAATGGAACTTCCTCTGGCACAGCTCATACCAAAAAAAAAATATCATTTTATGCAAAAGTTAAAAAAGAATCCATTCTTGTCTGTTAATCAAAGCCTTTAAAATTTACAGATAAAGCCACAGATTTCACTGTAAGTTATCAAACATAATACCAGCTAATTCTTTATTCCAGTAATTATAGTAATAAAAAAGTGGTAAGCCCATAGGCAGGGCCTATAATTTGTTATTTTAAAAAAATAATTATGAAGCCCCTCCTGGTTTATTTTATTTAATTGAACAGAATTTGTATACAACTTAAATTGTAAATAAAACCTCTAAGCATTTTTTGTAAGTAAAAATTATATTTTAGGAGCTTCAGTTAGCATTTTTTATGTTTACACCTTATTTGGGGGAATGAAATCATATGAATTTCAATGAAGTCAAGAGACAAAAAATTATGCTTGCTAGAGGCAAACGTTATGTTTGTTTGTGGTCACTAATACTCTGCCTATGACCCCACCTGCACTATACATTTAAACAGTGCTTTTTTTCCTTTTTTTAAAAAATGTTTAGGAGTACAGTGGTACCTCGGGTTAAGTACTTAATTTGTTCCAGAGGTCCGTTCTTAACCTGAAACTATTCTTAACCTGAAGCACCACTTTAGCTAATGGGGCCTCCCACCGGAGCATAATTTCTGTTCTCATCCTGAAGCAAAGATCTTAACCTGAGGTACTATTTCTGGGTTAGTGGAGTCTGTAACCTGAAGCATATGTAACCTGAAGCGTATGTAACCTGAGGTACCACTGTACTGTCATATTCCTACTCATATTTAAATACTGCCCTTCAATGAGGCCAAACTTAGATTCACAAAGTGTTTAAGGGTATGTGTATGCCTGCATCCCTCCAGAAAAAAGCACTGCATTTAAAGCTGTTTCAGCTTCCCCAAGGAATTTTGAGAATAGTAGTTTATTAAGGGTACTGAAAGTTGTTAGGAGACACCTATTCTCCTCCTATAGCTGCAATTCTCAGAGTTGAGGTGACCAGAACTGTACACAGTATTCCAAATGCAGATGCACCATAGATTTGTATCATGGCATTAGGATGCAAGCTTTTATTTTAAATTCCTGTCATTATGATCCCTAGTGTTGAATCTGCCTTTTTCACAGCTGCCAAACAGTGGGTGGACATCTTCATCTTCATGCCTACCACAACCCCTAGGTCTTGTTCCAAATGTCCTTGTTTTTGCCATTCACATAAACCTGAATGAAACGCCAGCTTCTAGAAGCATCTCTGAAATGCATCTGGTTTAAAACAGGCTTTGATTGTCTGACTGCTAAGAGGTTAAAATAAAGGATAGCTATATTAAAGGTAATAATTTCTCTTGAAATTCAGTCAGCTCTGCGAAGGGTAGGGATGTGCTATCCTTGACTTCTACAGGGATTGTACTTTGCAAACCTTTTTTAAGCTTATTTTGGTGCATGAACTCTCTCTCTCTGAAACTACAGCTGCTGTCTGCGTTATCTGAAAATAATGTGACAACCAGACTAAACTGAGCACTTGAATTCACACCTTATGACAGCACAGCAAATTCAGATGGAACCATCCCTGTGTGAGCCTAATAGCTATAATTAGCAAGCACAAGATTAATCAATTGCTGTGTGTTTAAACATATTCAGAGCAAAAAAAGGGCCTACAAATCAAAACCAAGAGCAGTTGCAGCCTATCTGTACAACATGAAGATAAAGGCACAAATCTTTCAACTGTCCAGAAGCTCGATCTACAATTAGCAGACGTTTATGCTGATCTTCTTCCTGTTCATTTCTGCACATCAAAATCCTGTTGAAAGTATAGTTGCAGTGGCTAGCTGAAATACCAGCAACCCTGAAAAGAGGCTTGAAACTATCTGTTTGACAAGTGACTTGGAGACTGGTTTTAAGGTTTCCTTAGAAGTAAGGTCCCACAAGTCCAATGGGAAGTATTCTTAAGTAATGTGTCTAGGGCTGCAGCCTTTATTAAACAAGTGGTGCATAAAATGAAAATCATCTCAGTTGGGTCCTGGACTAGGTGACTCTTGGGGTCCCTTCCAACTTCCAATTGTATGATTCAGTCTTTTGGCTTTGGAATGGGTTGAAGAACCTTGCTCATTGCTTTGCTTTGGAGTTCTAATAAAGCTATTCCCCTGCTGTCACCACAATACTATAATACTAATACTAATTTATTATTGTTACCCCACCCATCTGGCTGGGTTTCCCCAGCCACTCTGGGCAGCTATTTAAGGGCTGTTAGACATATCATGGAATGAATGAACTAAATTATAAAGCTTTGTGAGTTTGCCATCACAGTTTTTCTTCTTCTTCCTTTTGGGCGTAGGAGCCAACTTCTAGGGGCCGAGGTCCCTTCAGCCCCCCCCCACCCATAACATTTAGGGGGGCTGGGGCTCCCTGCCAAAGTTGATGGGCATTGCCATTCAAATGGGGTGTGTGTCTTGTGATCAATTATGCAGGGTGGGGCTTACCTGGCCGCCTCCCAATATTTTATTAGGCACCCCTGCTTTTGGAGTATTTTGCAAAGAAATTTGCCAGGTTTTGTTTGTGTATGGCTTTTCTTTTTTCTTTTTGGTGAACCACTTGATTGAGACATCCTTCTCCTATGCAGATCCGAACTGCGGTTGAATTCCTTGTCCAGTAGGTGGCGGTCATGGAGCCTATGTGACCTCCGGGGAAGCACGAAACTGACAGCAAAAAGATCAGAGATGGTTAGGTAGCCGGACGCTCTGTAATTCTGGCACTGAGCGCAGCGAAGCAGCGGGAATCCCCTTTGAAGTGCTAAGCTCCTGATCCCTCGCGCCGCTGCAGAATCACAGCCGAGAAGCAGGCAGACTCATTATCGCCGCCTTGTCTAAATTCATGAAGGGGCGACTGTTTCCCCTGACAGAACATGCCAACGCGTCGTCCGCAGGATCCTTCTGGCACGGCCCCGCCAGACACACTTCAGACTGCCAAAAGAGTGGCGCATTTGCCACCCTTATCGCAGGCAGCCCTCCAACAGGTGGGGCGGAGGAGCCGCACGGAGGCGGCGTGCCTTTGATGCGCTTTGTCAAAACATGGAGGGCTCTTCGCTTTGAAATGCATCGGCTCTCGGGGCGGATGTGTGAAAGAAAGAAAGGGGTGGGCGGTGGGTCGCCTCGGACGGTGGAAGGCAGCCTCTTCCAGAGTCAAACGGCCGGCCGCGTCGCTGCCAAAGCCAAGCAATTAATTGGGCTCTTGCAATCGACTAGTCCCTATGGCGGAGGCTCTGAGCAGCGGAGGCGAATGTAGGTGGGCGGAAGGGCTGAGATAGGGCGAGATATATCACAAGGTGATGGTGCTGGACATAGGAGCCAACTCCTAGAGACCGAGGTCCCTTCGGCCCACCCAGTGCCAGATTTACATATAAGCTAAACAAGCTATAGCTTAGGGCCCCACTCTCTTGGGGGCCCTAAAAAAAATTAAAGGGGCAAAACCCTGTTATGGATAAAAAATCATTTTAAGTTAGAGCTTAATAATTATTTCACTATTAATATACTTCTTCTTAATTGTATTTCACTATTAATATACTTCTTAATTGTATTTCAGTTCAACAATTACTTTGATAAAGTACATATTTTGTTATGTGCAAATGGCTTTAGATACCTATTAGCTCCATAAATTACAATGTAGCATATATGCAACACAAAAAACAGCAACAATTTGTTATTGACAAAGGACAGCTGGACATATAAAGGGACCCATTACCTTTAGTAGCTTAGGGCCTCATCAAAATCCAGCCCTGGGCCCACCCCCCAATCAAATATCTGAGGGGGTCAGCTCCCCCCCCCCCAGTTGATGTGCATTGCAAGTCAAATGGTGTGTGTGCACTGTCATGTAATCGACTATGTAGGGCGGGGCTTACCTGCCCCCCCCCCCAATATTGTATTCAAGCTGGCACCCCTGGGCAAGACATATCATAACGTGGTGGTGCTTGAGGTGTCACTGAAAGAAAGCCCCCCCCCCTGAAATCAAAGAGGCACTAGCCTCTTTCCAGCTCTGCAGTTCAGCAGTCGAATAGCATCTTGAAAGGTATCTTCGGAGGACATGCAGAGTGCATTCTCCTAGCTCCTAAATTACCTGAGCTGCCTGCCTACCATTTCTGCAATCAAAAGAGGAGATTGAGCCCCAACACCTCTAAGTTTCATATGATTATCATGATTTCTTCAATCGATGCACGCCCAGCAAGAAATCTGATCCCATTAGAGTCCACGGGGCTTTCTTCCAAGTCAGTGAACATAACATTGCAGCCTGAGGCTGTAAGCCTGCACACGCCAAAACACACACACTGTGGGTCAGCCCCATTGACCCCTGAGTTGCCGCTCCCCATCGTAAGTAGCTGGTTTGCATAGGAGCAATCCTAGTCACCTCATTGACTTTTCCCAGACGCTCCTTCTCTAAGTTGAAACCCCCCAAAATAAGCAGCTTCGAGAACGGCAAAAGTGCATTTCCCTCATTTTTATACGCGAGGGATGGATTCCAAAAAGACAAGGCTGGGGAAATGCAGCCGCCACCCAAAGAGAGACCTTTTGCAGCACTTGGGGCGTCTCTTTGTTCCTAGGCACGAAGAGAGGCTTCTCTAAGCACACGGTGACATTTCATCACAGCCATGAGTGATGAAAGCCAGCAGCAGGACGAGGTGGTGCCTTTGGAACTACATAAGAAGGGGATCTGTGAAAGATTCGGGACAGACAAAAGAGAGCGCTTCTTCCCACAGTGCAGCATAGCTATGAAACTCTCTCGCACAGGAGCCAGTGATGGCCACCCACTTGAATGCCTTTGAAAGCAGGTTGGACAAATTCATGCAGGAGAAGGCTGTCAGGGGCTGTGCATCCTGGTGGCGATGTTCTACCTCTACTCTCTGAGACAGCAAGCTCCTGAACATCCGTTGCTGGGAATCACAAGTGGCGAGAGTGCTCTGGTCTTGCATGCGAGCTTCCCACAGGCATCTATCTGGCTGGCCACTTTGAAAACAGAATGCTGGACTAGGTGGGCTCTTCTGATAAAGCCAGGCCCAAAGAAAGATACACCACACGTTTGGGGAATCCAATATAAGGAACAGAAGCAAGCCCACATCAGCAGAGCTGTGAGCCCAGAGGGCCAAGAGGAGTCGGCTGGAGGCCTAGGAGAGCAAAGTGAAGGCAGTGGGTTTCTTCAGGCGTACAAACAAGATTTTACGAGCCTCTCTGTGTGGATTGGGCCCTCTGCTCCACTCAGAAAAGAAGGCACAAGTTTGCCAAACATTTTTCTATGCTTTGTGTTGTTTGCAAGTCTGCATCCTCTCCTCCAGGTTGATCGGTGGGCTGAAAATTACTTTCCACAAGCAAGTAATAGGATCCTAGATACAGTGGTACCTCGGGTTAAGTACTTTATTTGTTCCAGAGGTCCGTTCTTAACCTGAAAGTGTTCTTAACCTGAAGCACCACTTTAGCTACTGGGGCCTCCCGCTGCCGCTGTGCCGCCGTAGCACATTTCTGTTCTCATCCTGAAGCAAAGATCTTAACCCGAGGTACTATTTCTGGGTTACTGGAGTCTGTAACCTGAAGCATCTGTAACCCGAGGTACCACTGTATGTAGAAGGTCAACATGGGAAGATTTTCTTATAATTATATTTTCATACCAAAAATATTTAACCCAGGGGCCCTCAAACTTTCTATACTGCAAAGGCCCACTTGAGAGGACTGTAAATTACTAGCCCTCCCCAACCTGAAAGTGGACTGAAGCTCACTGCTGGCTTCACCTGCTGAATTTCCACACAGCTGTTAAAGCACAATAACCCTGCTCTCTCCCAACACCAACCCTAAACCATGCAAAGAGCTCAAGGTGCATTAGTTATAAACCTGTTTTGTTACTGTAGGCCAGGTGTGGGGAACTTTTGGCCTTCCAGATGTTGCTGAACTACACTTCCCATCAGCCCTTGCCATTGGACATGCCTGCTGAGGCTGATGGGAGTTGCATTTCAGCAACACCTGGCAAGCCAAAGGTTCCTCACACCTGCCACAGGTCTTTCATCACTTGATCTTAGGCTGAAAATACTGCATTCAGTGCAAGGCAGACAAGGTACTTTAGATGGGGCAGTGGGGTTGGGGGCAAAAGAGATTTAAGGTTTGCAGAGGCAAAGGATCAGATACCCTTGAGCTGAAAAAGAAAAGCTTCCTCACTCCTTTCTTTTTCTTTGGTGATCATTCATAGCCCGACCTCCAGTAGGTGCTATTAGACAAATGGGAGGTTTCTGATCTCTTTCTGAATGGGGTATATAGTGAACAGGAAAACTTATCACCCTCCTGGAGAAAGATGCCTAGGAAGCCAGGAGCAGGAGCAGCTCTGCAACTACAACCACCACCCTGTCAGGCTGAGGCCACATCGAATTATCAGCTGAGCAGTTCAAAGCATTGGATTATCTCTGCACCAGGAAGAACACACTGCTGTCCATGGTGCTGACCTAGTGCAGGTGAGAGGCAAGGCAAAGGTATGGCAAAGCCAGGTAGTGTTAAAGGAGAAAGGGAGGCAGAGTCATAAGACTTATCCGCAAGTAGGCAGGACGATGGACTTGCTGGTATGTCTCAGTGAGCTTAGTGGGCCACTTGCAAGACAACATACAGTGGTACCTCGGGTTACAAACACTTCGGGTTACAAACTCTGCTAACCCAGAAGTAGTACCTCGGGTTGAGAACTTTGCCCCAGTATGAGAACAGAAATGTGTGGAGGCAGCGTGGCGGCAGCAGGAGGCCTCATTAGTGAAAGCACACGTCAGGTTAAGAACGGTTTTGGGTTAAGAACGGACCTCCAGAACAAATTAAGTTCATAACCTGAGGTACCACTGTACATAGAATAAGGCTGCAAGAGTTTTGCACAGATAGAAAAACCGACCCCCACTGTTCACTAAGAGCTCAACTAGACAAGATATGGAAATTTCATTAACTGGATCTCCCACTGTCCATCCGCCAGCTGTCGGTCCATTCTTGGGAAACCTAGGGAATATTGTAAGAACGTAAGAGTGTGCTGGGAATCACAAGTTGGGAGAGTGCTATTGTATTCAATTCCTGTTTGCTGGTTTCCTAGAGGCATCTGTTTGGCCATTGTGAGAACAGGATCCTAGACTATATGGGCCATTTGCCCAACCGTCTCTTCTTAATTTTGTTCTTATAAATTAGTCTCTATAAAGCTCCCATTAGCACTACAGAAAAAAGTGCACAGGGGGTGACTACTGTATGTGAGACGGGAAGAATACCCCTTCCCCATTCTGCAGCAATGCCTTAACACTGATCCATTGTCACACTTACTAAATGAAGCTCCACTGCTTCCATCAACCCATTTTGGTTGATTAACGTACTATGGCCTTTTAAATGTGCTTGTTGGGTGGGCTTATTGGTTTGTATTTGGTGTTTTCATTTTTATGTTGTGAACCACCCTGCGATCTTCAGATATACAAATTTAATCAATCAATATTTATTTTACCCACTTACTGACATTTATTCACACTTTCTAACTTAGCTGTTAACTGTTTTTGTAGGCTCTGCAGAGCTGCCATGTACAATCACTGTTAGCAGTCTTTGTAGGAATTTTTGCAGTTTCCTTCACTAGACATCTAGCCCAAATTTTAGAAAATGCTGAAATAACCACCTGCCTTTGGTTGCAGGATTTTAGAAAACACTGAACTAAAGCAATCAACAAAAAAATTTTTTTAATATAAAAATAATTTTTTTATTCTCAATTCTTCAATCTTTATTCAATCATGATTCAATATTCAATCTTTATTCAATTTATTCAATGTTATGTGTTCTTGCACATTTACCTATATATGCTCTGCAATAAAACCAACATATTTCTGAACAAGATCTACCACGCCATCCCATATCCTAACGCAGGAGTAGGAAAAGTTTGCTTGGAATCCATCTTGTGCTCTTCAGTTGAATTTCCTGAGAACTGGGTTGGAAAGTGATAAGGCAGACCAGGTAATGGAAATGAATAAGGTGGATTTTGGAAGGGCTGGTACTTGCAGCCAGGAGGATTGGGCCACAAAGAAGGATTTGGCATATAAGGTAGAAGGCTGGGTGGGATCTTGGGCTGACATATCAGACAGCCGGGAGATGAAGGCCAGAGGCCTCGGCGATAGTCTTGTAGCTGTCGCTTAAGTTTCATCCTGCGATTCTGGAACCAGTTTTTAACCTAATAATAAGAATAATAAAGTAAATTCAGAAGCTAGTAGTCACAGAAACAGCCTCATGTTCTCAGAATGCACAGTCACTTACATCAATGGGCCATTCAGACCAGTTTCCACGTAACAAAATGGCAGCGCTACCATGTATTTAATATTGTACAATGAGTCTCCCAAAGCAGATCATAAACCACCTTCTGCAATGATCTCGAAGAAGCTTCCCCCAACTGGTGCCTGTTTTTGACTGCAGGTACTGACAGCTCCTGCCACTGTGGCCAATGGTCAGGGGCAACTAAACCAAAAAAGATTCTCCACCCCTAAAGTAGTAAAGGTAACAGATCCCCTGACCATTAGGTCCAATCGCGGACGACTATGGGGTTGCGGCGCTCATCTCGCTTTATTGGCCAAGGGAGCCGGTGTACAGGTTCCACATCATGTGGCCAGCATGACTAAGCCGCTTCTGGCGAACCAGAGCAGCGCACGGAAATGCTGTTTACCTTCCCACCGGAGTGGTACCTATTGATCTACTTGTACAGTGGTACCTCGCAATACGGAAAACTCGCAAAACGAAAGGGTTTTTGGTTTTTTGAGTTGCTTCGCAATACGATTTTCCCTATGGGCTTGCTTCGCAAGACGGAAACGTCTTGCAAGTTTGTTTCCTTTTTCTTAAAACCGTTAATACAGTTGCGACTTGACTTCGAGGAGCAACTCATAGCACGCGGTGTGGTAGCCTTTTTTGAGGTTTTTGAAGACTTTGGAGATTTTTGAAGCTTTTCCAAAACTTTTCCGACACCGTGCTTCACAAGACGGAAAAAACCGCAAGATGAAAAAACTCGCGGAACGAATTAATTTCATCTTGCGAGGCACCACTGTACTTTGATGTGCTTTCGAACTGCTAGGTTGGCAGGAGCAGGGACCGAGCAACGGGAGCTCACCCCGTCGTGGGGATTTGAACCGCCGACCTTCTGATCGGCAAGTCCTAGGCTCTGTGGTTTAACCCACAGCGCCACCCGCGTCCATACCCCTCAACTACAGGCTATGAAATACAGAAGCCAGTGCCTAGATGTGAGCACAGCGCTCAGCGGGGAAGGGCAAGATAAAAGTGGCAAAATGATATGGTAGTGGGTATCAGTCAGTTAAGAGGCTCCCTCCCTGATGCCATTTCCTATCCAACTAGTCTATGCAAATTTTACATGTTGTTTGGTACTATCACAGAAGCAGAGTGGTGTAAATACCTCACTGGGTTTATTTATAAAGACGCTGTGCAGCTTCCCATCAAGGACGCTGTACTTGCATCCTGTGCCAAGCAGGGGGTTGGGCTAGATGACTTCAGAGGTCCCTTCAAGCTCTAGTTATAAGTGTCTGATCAAGGGCCTGACAAGCCTATTGCTGTGATCAGTAACTGGACTTCCCTCAGACACGAAATGTGCTCAGGGCAATGCCTAGAGAATTAGTGATTCCTCCCGTTGGGGATGGAGGCAAGGGAGGACACAGAATCCCACCTTCCCCAAATTTGAACCCTTCTGCTTAGACCTTAGCAAGCTACTCGGAAGGGAGTTTTCTAATCAAGTTCTATGGAGCAAACATAGAAACTCTCCGCGATCCAGAGCCCTGGCGCAGACTTGTGATCGCAGGGAAGATCCCACAGGTTTTTAAAGCTGCAATCTGGGCAACTAGCTCCACTGAGCAAGCAACATAAACATGCAGAGAACTGCAGTCTAAGTAGTGACCCCAAACACACCTACTATGGAGTTCATTCCACAGGAAGGCATATTTGCACTGTTAATTATGCACTACGATACTAAAGGGCAGCAAGGCTTTCCAAATGATCGTTTCCCCTCCAGTGTCTATAAACTGTCTGAATAAGGCCACAGCGGCTCTTCCAAACTTGGTGCAAAAATATTCAGCATAATTGTCCTACATCTGTAGGCATTTCACTGACAACCTCAGGATGCCCAACCTAAGTGATTTACCAAATGACTGTGCCCTAGGTCTTTTGATGAGTGAGCTGGATAAACAAGAGGTGGCATGGGCATAATCCTGTGGTTGGTCTTTCTTGCTAAATGGATGCAAACAAGCCATGTGGATAAGACAGTTGCCAATGCTCCCATCTGCACAATGCAGCACTCAGCAAGAATTCCCATTTCAAAAGGCAGCTTGGCACCAGTCCACAAGTCACTTCTTTTCTCTAAAGTAATCTCACAGCAGGTTCTTTAAAGAGAAATGGATTTGTGGCTTGCCATGGTGGCCCCACCAAGAGACACTCAAAAACTGCAGACTCTTAATGTTCAAGTTACCCCTATGCTCATGTTTCATTTACTTACTCAAAGCATTTAGACTAAGGACGTTCCTTCTAAAATGGCATGCAACACATTGAAATCCTTAAGCTTACTTATTCAAAAGTAAGATGCCATGAATTTCATGGAACTTGGGCCACATTCTTGTCCTACACTCACCACACTATTATACCATTTTAAACTATCACAGCTGCTTCCAAGGAATCTTGGGAAATGTAGTTTAAGGGGTTTATAGAATTGTTGGGAGGCTCCTTAGTACCCCTCACAAAGTTACAATTCACAGAGTAGTTTTAACAACCCATCCCACCTCTTCACAAGGAACTCTGGAAATTGTAGCCAGGTGAGGGGAACACGGCTCTCTTAACAATCCTCAACATGCTCAACTACAGCTCCAAGAATTCTTTGGGAGAAGCCATGATTAAAGTAGTACAGTGGTGCCTCAGGTTACATACGCTTCAGGTTACAGACTCCGCTAACCCAGAAATAGTGCTTCAGGTTAAGAACTTTGCTTCAGGATGAGAACAGAAATCGTGCTCTGGCGGTGCGGCGGCAGCAGGAGGCCCCATTAGCTAAAGTGGTCTTCAGGTTAAGAACAGTTTCAGGTTAAGTACGGACCTCCAGAACAAATTAAGTACTTAACCTGAGGTACCACTGTATCATAGTACTTTACATTGTATGGTCTTACACTTTAGTAAGTGCACTTGAGATTTCAGCAATAACTGAAGACTTTTCAGCTTTTTATTTTATTATTACATTTATAGCCTGCCTTTTCTTCCACTGGGAAGTAGGCTACCCTTCTATGTGAGATTCATATGGCATTTGTTCCCATCCTTCTTCTTGGTTGTTCAGGGCAGGTCATCCTCACAACCACCTTGTATGGTAGGCCAGGATGAGAGACAAGCAATGAGCCAAAAGTTTATCTATTGCAGAATGTGGATTTGAATCCAGATCCAACACTTTTTCATCTTCAACCAGCTCCATCTCTAGTTTGCACAAACTGCTACTTATCAAAAATTTCATCCCTCTTACATTTATACCCTGCTTTTTCCCCCATCACAGACTTCAGGCGGTGTACTTGTAATTTGCAAGTGGTCTCCAAACCACCCCCAGACCTGCTTAATTTCCAGCACAGGTGGGGCCTCATGACCTTCTCTATCCTAATTCCCACATCAATACTGTACAGTGGTACCTCTGGTTACGTACTTAATTGGTTCCGGAGCTCCGTTCTTAACCTGAAACTGTTCTTAACCTGAAGCACCGCTTTAGCTAATGGGGCCTCCTGCTGCCGCCGCGCTGCCAGAGCACGATTTCTGTTCTCATCCTGAAGCAAAGTTCTTAACCCGAGGTACTATTTCTGGGTTAGCGGAGTCTGTAACCTGAAGCGTATGTAACCTGAAGCGTATGTAACCCGAGGTACCACTGTATATCAATAACGAAACTGCTTCTTAAAGAATTGTAGTTCAGGAAGAGCTTTCCAAAACCGCACCTCAAGAGGCAACCGGACTACTCAGGAGTAAGTGTCTCAAAGACTTACTGCCTACAGCACAGGCCAGTCACTCACCTGCTCTTCCGTCAGGTGCAGCTCCGCGGCCAAGCCTTGCCTTTCCCACTGCTTCAGATAGGTTTGTCGCAGGAAGGTGCTCTCCAACCCGCGGAGCTGCTCCATGGTGAACGCTGTGCGCAAACGGGAGTAGTGCTGTCGATCCTCCCGGTCCAGGTTCACGTCGGAAGCGGCGCTCTTGCTCGCCTCCCTGACCGAGACCGGCTCGCTTGCGCAGGGTCCTTGGTCGGCTACGAAAGAGGGAGAGCAAGAAGTGTGAGCCAACCTTTCCTTCCTTTCCTGAGCGCACCTAGCAAGGTCTAGCTGAGATAACCCCAAGCAGGGGGCGACTTTTCTCGCCAGGGCTCAATGGATAGAATGCTCCCCCCCCCTCTTTCTGAGGGAGAAGAGGCAACACACCGCGCCTCTCCCCAGTTTTTTCTCACGCCCCAATAACAATTTCCACTCCTAAACGCGGGTAGACTCGGGGTGCGGCAACATCCATTGCTTAGTGCATATCTTGTTGGTTTTAAAAGGACTTGTTCCCAAGTGTACCCTAAAAGCATACCCCTCCCCCAAAATAGCGCAGAATTGCTATTGCGCCCTAGAGGAGGTTCTCCAGTACTGCTCAAAAACTAGCCAAGGCGCTTGGCGAGGATTACGGCCTTACTACCACCACGTGATTGCCGGGTAATGCCACTAGTCCTCAGTGAGGCCGGTCCGGCGTTTGACTTACTCTTGCTTGGCGAGCAATCGACGGCAGTTTCACGGGCCTCGCTGCATCCTTCTCCTCCACTTCCGACGGCGGTGGCGTCTCCTCTGCGCAATCCCGTAGAGGGGCATGGCTTCTTGGGCTGGGCCTTCCCTAACCAGGAGCTTCCTTTGCACAAATTGGGAGCGCTCGGAGCGGGCACGCAGCAGATATGGGGCTTGTGCGCGATCCCCTGCTGATCGCAGGCCCGCTGACCCATGTGCGCACGAAACACGCCGACCTCCACGCTTCTCCTGCAGGGGGCCAGCCCTCCACTGCAAATTTATAGGCGACAGCGAGCACTTAAGGAGGAAGATTCGCACCTGGAACTCGGGGCCGGCCGATCTACAGCGCCCCCTCCCGGCAGTGCAGAGTTGATTTCCAACGCACAAACACCAAGTGGGTGTGTCTTATCTTAGTATCAATATACTACGCCCTGTCCCAAGGGTGTTTCGTTTCTGCTGTTATCTGGTGGTCATCTTCTTATTTTAGCTGGGGAAGGAGATAAAAGATTTAAACGGAGAAGGAAACTCACCCTCCCCCACCCAGTGATTGGTAATTCTGCATAACTGCCTTTTAGAGATGTCCCCCCCAAAATGGTTTCGTAAAATCTGGGAACATAAGATCAAGAAATGCGAAACTGGCATATTGCCTCCAGAGCTATATCAAGAATACAGTGGTACTTTGGGTTACATACGCTTCAGGTTACAGACTCCGCTAACCCAGAAATATTACCTCAGGTTAAGAACTTTGCTTCAGGATGAGAACAGAAATTGTGCTTTGGCGGCGCGGTGGCAGCAGGAGGCCCCATAAGTAAAGTGGTGCTTCAAGTTAAGAACACTTTCAGGTTAAGAACGGACCTCCGGAACCAATTAAGTACTTAACCCGAGGTATCACTGTATATAGATTGGTGGACACCCACCCTGGCGGGCCTATTTAGTGCCATAAATAGTACCAGGGAAATTGGAAAATGGGCAGCATTTTTCCCATTTTTAAGAAGGCAGTCAGGAACTACTGCTCCTAGTGGTGCAGCAAGAAAGCTGCTAGCACATTTGCAAAGTTAAGCAGGGACCAGTATGGTTTCAAACTGGATTGAGGGTGTTGTGTTAAGATTCCTGAATTGCAAGGGGGTTGGACTAGATGCCCCTTCCTGCTGATTTATTGTCCAAGGTTGTTCCAAGGGATCAACACTGTACCTATGTACAGAAATTGGGTTTGTACTGAGATTGTACGAACACACTGACCAGTGGTGTTCACAGAAAGGGGGAGGATGTTAGTTTCTGTTTCTCACTGAGAGCAGCTGCTTGCAGTCACTGGACTGTTTACATTCCACAGTCCAGATACTGTTGGATTCTCACGGGAAAGGGAGATGGGATGTGACGTTACTGGTTCTGTTCGTTTCCTTTGTTCAGTTGCTCTCTGCTTCTCACAGAGAGAAAATGTATTTTTCTTTGCTCTCTGTATAGCTTAGTAATAAAGTATAGCAATGTAGCACCATACCTGCCTCATCCTTCCGTTGTGGACTTTGTTGTTTTAATGCTCCGCTGAGCTCAAAGGAAGATGAGCCATATCAGCTCGGACGACCGGAGCTGAAATTTCAATAAAACTGGGAGAAATTATCAAGTTTTGACATTGACCACAAACTCTTGCTGTTGATTAGAGGACTATATTTTGTTGTTTAGTCGTTCAGTTGTGTCCGACTCTTCGTGACCCCATGGACCAGAGCACGCCAGGCACTCCTGTCTTCCACTGCCTCCCGCAGTTTGGTCGAACTCATGCTGGTAGCTTCGAGAACACTATCCAACCATCTTGTCCTCTGTTGTCCCCTTCTCCTTGTGCCCTCCATCTTTCCCAACATCAGGGTCTTTTCCAGGGAGTCATCTCTTCTCATGAGGTGGCCAAAGTATTGGAGCCTCAGCTTCAGGATCTGTCCTTCCAGTGAGCACTCAGGGCTGATTTCCTTCAGAACAGAGAGGTTTGATCTTCTTGCAGTCCATGGGACTCTCAAGAGTTTCCTCCAGCACCATAATTCAAAAGCACCAATTCTTCGGCGATCAGCTTTCTTTATGGTACAGCTTTCACTTCCATACATCACTACTGGGAAAACCATAACTTTTACTATATGGACCTTTGTCAGCAAGGTGATGTCTCTACTTTTTAAGATGCTGTCTAGGTTTGTCATTGCTTTTCTCCCAAGGAGCAGGTGTCTAATTTCGTGGCTGCTGTCACCATCTTCAGTGATCATGGAGTCCAAGAAAGTAAAATCTCTCACTGCCTCCATTCTTCCCCTTCTATTTGCCAGGAGGTGATGGGACCAGTGGCCATGATCTTCATTTTTTTGATGTTGAACTTCAGACCATATTTTGCACTCTCCTCTTTCACCCTCAATAAAAGGTTCTTTAATTCCTCCTCACTTTCTGCCATCAAGGTTGTGTCATCTGCATATCTGAGGTTGTTGGTATTTCTTCCAGCAAATTTAATTCTGGCTAGGGATTCATCCAGCCCAGCCTTTCGCATGATGAATTCTGCATATAAGTTAAATAAGCCGGGAGACAATATACAGCCTTGTCGTACTCCTTTCCCAATTTTGAACCAGTCAGTTGTTCCATATCCAGTTCTAACTGTAGCTTCTTGTCCCACATAGAGATTTCTCAGGAGACAGATGAGGTGATCAGGCACTCCCATTTCTTTAAGAACTTGCCATAGTTTGCTGTGGTCGACACAGTCAAAGGCTTTTGCATAGTCAATGAAGCAGAAGTAGATGTCTTTCTGGAACTCTCTAGCTTTCTCCATAATCCAGCTCGTGTTTGCAATTTGGTCTCTGGTTTCTCTGCCTCTTCTAAATCCAGGTTGCACTTCTGGGAGTTCTCGGTCCACATACTGCTTGAGCCTGCCTTGTAGAATTTTAAGCATAACCTTGCTAGCGTGTGAAATGAGTGCAATTGTGCGGTAGTTGGAGCATTCTTTAAAAAGGGTGGAAGAGAACACTCTTGTTTCACTCCTCTTGAAGTTTTAGAGGCTTCAGAATGAGGGTCAGAGCTGGTCTAAATGGAAGTGTGACTGAAGCCTCTAAAACTTCAAGAGGAGTGAAACAAGAGTGTTCTCTTCCACCCTTTTTAACATTTATATTAAGGACTTGGTACCCCAACTGGCTTCAGCAAGTTATCCTCCAATAATAATAATAATAATAATAATAATAATTTATTACTTATATCCCACCCATCTGGCTGGGTTTCCCCAGCCACTCTGGGCAGTTCCCAACAGATTAAAAACAGAATAAAACACCACACATTAAAGACTTCCCTAAACAGGGCTGCCTTCAGATGTCTTCTAAAAGTCAGATAGTTGGTTTTTTTCCTTGACATCTAATGGGAGGGCATTCCACAGGGCATGTGCCACCACCAAGAAGGCCCTCTATCTGGTTCCCTGTAACTTTGCTTCTCGCAGTGAGGGAACTGCCAGGAGGCCCTTGGAAGTAGACCTCAGTGTCCGGGCAGAACGATGGGGGTGAATACACTCCTTCAGGTATACTGGGCCAAAGGCTATTTATTTTGATGTATGCAAATCATAAATACTTACTTTGTAAGTAAAAGTAGGACATTTCCTCTTGTTAAAAAAAAGGAAGAAAAACCCCTATTCTTCCTGGTGGAAATCCTTTGTTCTGATATAAACTATGTTTCTTGATTCTAACACTGAGAAGCTAGGATGGTCTAGTCACTAGTGGCATGGGCATAGCCAGGATTTTTGTTAGGGGGCAGGACTTTTGTTGGTGGGGGCAGAACTGACGTGATTGGTCAGTTAAGTATTTCTATTGTTTTACTTGATCTGGGGGGGTCAGCTGCTTGACCCATGTCTAGTGGTTAGAATGTCCTCCTAGGGTACAGGAATGGGGAGCCTGTGGTCCTGCAGATGTTGTCAGACTCCAATTTGTCTGTTTTACTATATGCTGATGACCTTGTCCTGCTCTCCCTGAACAAAATTGGACTCAGAAGGATGCTGGTCAAATCTGGCCAACTGTGAAAAAAGAACATCTAAAAGTTAACTATGTGAAAATTAAGGAGGTCATATTTGGTAAGAGGGTTACTAAATCCAAGTAGACATTAGGTGGTCATACTCTTGAGCAAGTAAGGTAAAGGGACCCCTGACCGTTAGGTCCACTCGTGGTCGACTCTGGGGTTGCGGCGCTCATCTCGCTTTACTGGCTGAGGGAGCCGGCGTACAGCTTCCGGGTCATGTGGCCAGCATGACTAAGCCACTTCTGGCAAACCAGAGCAGTGCACGGAAACACGGTTTACCTTCCCACCGGAGTGGTACCTATTTATCTACCTGCACTTGGATGTGCTTTTGAACTGCTAGGTTGGCAGGAGCAGGGACTGAGCAATGGGAGCTCACCCCGTTGTGGGGATTCGAACCACCGACCTTCTGATCGGCAAGTCTTAGGCTCTGTGGTTTAACCCACAGTGCCACCCGTGTCCCACTTGAGCAAGTACATAGGTGTAAATACCTAGGATTACTTATGGATGAAAAGCTTTCATGGAAACCCCACCTGGATGCAACCAAGTTATTATCTGCCCGCTCTACTGGACAGCTATTCAGGTTTTTCTCTTCGAAGGGGGGGGGACAGTTAATCAATCCAGCCATCAAGATCTATGTGTCAAAGATCATTGCACAAATGCTTTACGGGTCTGAGATCTGGGGAAGTGGTATCAAACCTGAACTAGAAGTACAACAAAACAAATTCATGAGGCAGATATTGGGGCTTCCACTGGGGACCTCAGAGCTGAGTTGGCTCTGCCCTTGATAACAGCCAGAATCGACCTACCCTACCTCAGATACTGGTGCAGACTAAATGCCTCTGAGGAGGACCATATTCCTGCTAAGTTCTGCTGTTTAGAGCAACTAAGGACAGGTGGCTGGGCGCAAAGGTGTCACAATAAGCTTAGGGCTTACAATCTCCAAATGGAGACATATTTGGCCCTTGGTTCACATGACCTTAAAAATTGGGTCTTTGACCAGGATGCCAAAATTAAGATCAACCATTCAAGGCCCCACTACCTTGAGATACCAACTTTCCTGCAACTGCATAGGGCATTTGTTGGACTAAGATTCCGACAGACGCAATCAGCATACTTAGAGGGGAGACACCTGGGAATCCTCCATAGGGAACAAATGCATTTATGGATGCAATCAGGTAGAGGATCTCATGCACTACTTGCTGAC